TTGAATGAGGCTTTTTCTTGATTAGGTGTTTGACTGATCGGTATAAATCCCTGTTCTCCAAAGCTTCCATAAAATTATTTCACCAAGTTTCTAGTTCCCTTTTTATTTTTTCAGTCCTGGGAATTGAACTGTAGCCTCATTAAATGCTAGGCAAAGTGCTACAACTATAGCCAGCTTTTTCAAACAATTTTGAGATGTTAAATTGCCCAGGCTGGCTTCCAATTTGTGATTCTCCTATTTCAGTTTTCTTCAATGTCTCAATAAGGTGGTAAATTTTTCTCTTATTAACAGCTTTAGGCTGGGGGACGAGCTTGTAGCTAAGGGGTACAGGAACTGCCTAGGGTACAAGGTTCTCAATCCATACACACTCACACACACACACTAGGCTGGGAGGGGGTGAAGCTCAATAGTACAACTATGCTTGAGATTCTGCAAGAGGAGGCCTGGGGATTTGATTCTCCATACCCAAACACAAAACAAACACAAAAACACAAAACAAAACAAAAAAACAATGGGGATGGGGATCTAGATCAGCAGTAGATTACCCCTGGGTCTAGTCTCAGTACCAAACCACAACAAATTTATACAATTTAATTATGTGTTTGTATTAGAAAAATAGAAAATGCCCATGCTACTGGGCATTTGAAACACAAAGTGATGGGCTCAATGGCACAGCACTTGCCTGGCAAGCATGAGGTCCTGAGTTCAACTGCTAGCGCACACACACACACACACACACACACACACACACACACACACAGGGATTTACTACAAGGAATTGGATGATTTCAAAACAGGTGGACTACAGCGGGTCATCTCTAACCTTCTACAGCACTCCCATAGCTGGTACTCAAGGGTCAGGAAGCTACTACTGCCATTCATACATTAGGAAACTGCAGAAAACTGCTGCCAATACAGGTAATCAGCAGCTCTGAGACAGCTGACCAGTGGGAGAATGTGGAAGTCACTACAAAAACTTACCTTAATCTTACAGACAGCTAAGTTAGGTAGAAATATTTAGCAGTCAGACAGGGTTAGACCCTTGATGGAGTCAGTGCAAAAGATTAACACATTACAACTGTGGCTAGAGGCATATCTGTCAAAGGCCAGGACTCAAGATACAGAAGAAATGACCTGACCCTACATGCCTCCCTAAGGGATAAGCAATAAATTGAGATTATGCAATAACTGGTATCACCTGATCCAGGTGATAGATATCAGGGGGGTTACGTCAGGACTCATTCCTTCTTTAACAACCCTTTGCTCTATCCACGTACCCTTGCTGTGCGACCTGTTTCCCTACTGATCAATATTACCAAAGTGGCTATACTTATAATCTTACTGGTTGATCACAGTTTGATCTATATTGCATCCATCTAGTGACTTCACTTTATAAAACATTCTCAGAGAAGTGAGCTCTATGGCAGCCCACTTTTGGGTACCCTCTATCAGGGGCTTCTCTCAAGGGCTCTCTCTCAATAAATATTTCCTATTCTTACCCTCCTCTATTCCTTAGAATTCATTTCTCAGTTTGGGGGGACACAAACATGACATATCTGACATCTAGCAGGATGGGAGTTACATTTTTCCCTATGTTAACCTAAGCCCATATCACTGCCAAAAGAAAAAAACTTTACCGTCTTTTCCTTTTCCACATTTTTTCTTTTTTTTTTTTTGTCTTTTTCTTTTTTTATCTGTACCAAGGATCGAACTCATGACGGCCTGCTTGCAAGGCAGGTGCTTATGCCACTAAGCTAAATCCCCAGCCCCCTTTTCCACATTTTCTAAGCTGCATCTCACAGGCCCATAGATATCAATAAGTCTACTAGCTGGAGACTAAGTGCTATGGCTATAGCTTTCTGGCCTCTCACATCAGGGTAGATCCTGGAATGGAATGGGGAGGTACTGAGTACCCCAACTTTATCTAGCGCAACACCCATTTCCCATCCTCCAAAAACATGGTGTAACAATTTATCTCCTGTTATTGAAATTACTCATCTCTCATTTTCTTTGGCCCTGTGGTTTTATATCTTTATATACTTTTAGGATACTTTCAGCAGGGCAGTAAAAAAACCTCACACGGTACTCAAGAAGTCCTGGACCCAGACATGGTGGCCTGTAATCTCAGCACTTGGAAGGGCAAGGTGGAAGGATCACTACTGAGTTTAAGGCCAGTCACTATATAGTGAGACTCTGTCCCGGAAAAAAAAAAAATGTTCTAGAACATATATTCAAAATCAACCTAACTGAGGCTAGCTAGGTCTTTCCACAGGGTTAACCTCTCCTCATACAAAGCAAGCCATGGCTTTTAGAATAGGAGTGGTTATCCAGTAATCTCCTATTATGCTCTACATAAGAACTTTCTTCTTGGGCCAGGAATACAGCTCAGCAGTACAGTGTCTGCCTGGCATATGTAAGGTCCTGAGTTCAATTCCCAGTATACAAAAAAAAAAAAAAAAAAAAAAACTCTTCTTTTTCGGTGGGGCGGAGAAGTGTTTTTGAGGCCCTGACTTCAAACCCATAATGTAGTTTTAAAAACATACTAAAAAATAGCATGCATCATGACACATATCTGTAATCTCAGTACTCAGGAAGCTGAGGCAGGAGGATTGCAATGAGTTCCAAGCAAGTGTGAACTACAAAGTGAGACTTGTTCTCCAAAAAAAGAAAAAACTAGAAAAACATCTCAGCAGTTATTAATTCAGGGAAATGAGAAAATGAGCCTTATATTATTCTTTTTATATTTCTCAAAATCCCAGCATGAAGAACCATGAGAAATCAATCTGCTATATACCACAGCTTAAGGATACAAGCCAAGGGGATGCCAGGTGAGACCTGACATGGTCACAGGCTTCTCACCTCTCCTGCACCAGACCAGGCCCTGTTATCTTCAATGAGTCTGCATGTGCTGGTTCCAGGTGACCAACCAAAGCACACCGTGATCCAAGTGCTGGCAAGTACTGTACACTCTCTGGGCTTTAGCCCAAGGAACAACAAGTGGACTACAGGCATAGGCAGGTCCTAGAGGTTCTAAAGAGGTTCCCATCATTCATTCAAACTTCCTTTTGGAAAGTCAGTACTTCCACACCAGATATGCATGATCCCATGAAGAAGGCAGGCTCAAGGGATGATCAATAGCAGTCCCCTCTAAACTGCATTCAATATAATCCTTTCCTTTGTCTTTCTTCTTTGAGAACAAGGCTTGTTATCCCCAGGTTGACCTCAAATTCCTCAAGCGATCCTCCTGCCTCAACCTCCCCAGCAGCTGACACTACAGATGTGTGCTACTACACTTGCCCCTGTTTCTTATTTTGGAACTTGATAAAATAACTATGCCACATTCAACTGTTACTTTCTGCTGGATGCCCTCCCTGAAGCTCCTGTTTGTAATGAATCCATTTTCCTTCAACACATAGCCTCCAGGAATACAGCACACCTTTCTTGTAAGAGAGCAGGTCCCACTGAGAAAGGGGAAAGGTCTCTTACACTGGAGAACTCATGATTTGGAAAGAGAGATCAAGCATAGGCCCTAGGAATGGTGATAATTACTAGCAGTTCTAGAAGGTGTTAAGAGAAGAACAGGGCTGAAGATGTAGCTCAGCAAAAGAGCACTTAACTAGCATGCGCATGCCCAAGGCCCTGAGTTCAATTCCTAATTCCAAAATTAAAAAAACATAAAAAATTTAAAAGCCAAATCAGGTGCCAGTAGAGGGAGAGACATCCATTTGAACCAAGCTTTGAAAGATGGCAGCTAGAAAATTAATAAAGAGTAAAACATTTCAGTTGAGCCACTAAAGGAAAAATAGCAAGAAAGTCAGGCTGGCAAAGAAATTAAGCCAACCATCAAAGGAATTTGTTTTTGTTTCTATCTTGTACTACTAGGGATTGAACCCAGAGCCTTCATACTAAACTACATCCCCAGCCCTTTTTATTTTTTCAAGACAGGGGATTACTAAGTTGCCTAGGCTTGAGTCATGATCCTCCTGCCTTACCCTCCTGAGTAGCTGAGATTATAGGTACCACCATGCCCAGCTAGTGAAGTAATCTGAATAGTAGGCAGAAGAGTTCAGGCCTGTGGTTGCAGAATTAAAGTAAAACGTACTTTCTTTTTATAAGCTTCGTCAGAACCACTTGATTTCACACATGTCCACACATCCACGTGTATACATGAAATGCTACTCCTTCCCCTCAAGCGCAGCTGAGAACAGCTGATCAAGTGACCACTGTTCCTCATGGGGTGCCTTACACTCTTCAAGAGTGCTAGGAATAAATCAGGTGGAGAACTAACAATTTATGACTTTCTGTGTCCTCTCCATACACCTCTAGGCACCTATGCATCACCACAAGAAAACCCTGAGTACCAGGGTACCAGTGACTGAGTGGCAAGATGGGTACATGATGCAAAAGTCTACAGTAACACACTTGTCAGGAGCCTGGCAAGAGGTACTTACATCCAAAGCCACACCGAGGTGAGGCCAGAGAAGTAGTGAGCTCTCCCTCAGGGAGCTCCTCTTAGGACCACACAAGTCCAACACCAACAGCACTTCACTTGCCTCCCCATGACTCCAGCCCTGCCATCTCCAAAGTTCTGGGTTCTGTCAATGTCAGGCACCTTCTTTTTTCTCCCAGTACTGGGACTGAACCCAAAGCCTTTGCAATGAGTTACAATCCCAGCCTTCTTTCTTTTTATTTTGAGATAGGCTAAGTTACTAAGTTGCCCAGGTGATTCTCCTACTTCAGCATCCCAGAGTGCTGTGCATCACCATACCCAACTAATGACCTGGGGACTTTTTGTTGTTGTTTTTCTGTTTTGCTTTGCTTTGTTTTTAAGGACAAAGAAAAAAAGGCAAGCCAGAAGTCAGATTACACTGTCTTTCAAATGTGTGGACACAGCAAGAAGCAACAGGTTGCAATTCTCCACCCTTCGTGGAAGGCGTGCTTACCCAACTACACCAAGGAGGTGGGTTGTGTGCACCCACCTGCTAAACACACTCACTCACCTGGACAGTTGGCTTCATCGCTCTCATCCTCGCAAGTCGGCAAGCCGTCACAGTGCCAAGAGAGGGGGATGCACTGGATGGCACCACTGCGACAGGCAAACTGCCCAGGGTTACACCGGAGCTCTATGGAAGCAAAGGCAAGAATTCGTTGAGGCAGCAGCAGCAAGAGCAGAGAACTAGAGTGGCAAAGCCCTGCTACCAATGAGCCCAAAGCCAACCGGCCTCTCCTAAAAGGTCTGGAAAACACATTCCCAAAGGAGCAGCCAGGAACTGTTATAGTACTGCAGCAGTGGATAGAGCAATACTCACTCAAGATAATAAATTCTGTAGCAGTTCAAACATACACTCTGAGTTTGGATTTTGCTATCATTTGGATGTTAAATGACCCCAAAGGCCCAAGTGCTCAAGGCTCTATCCCCAGGCTGGCACTGTGTACCATGTGGAGGCAAGCACTTGTGGAAGGTCCTCAGGTCACTGGGGAATCCAAAGGGACTGTAGGCCTTCCCAGGTCCTCTTTCAAGCACCCTGGCCCATGATGTAAGCGCTCACAGACCATCATGGCATGCTACCCTCTCCAAAGGCTCAAATCAGAAGAGTAACCTGATCTTGGACTTGAACCTCCAGAACCATGAACCAAAATAAACTTCTATCTCTTAAGTAGACTTAGTCAGATACTTCACTGTAGTGATGTGAAGCTAACAACATGATACAGTTCTGTACCAAACTACAGTTGAGAGAGGAGACAGAGATAAGGGAAAGGATACAGTGCTCACCGCTTACGAGATTCCAGATCAACGAAACAAACAGACATACATATAAACAGAGGTTTCTGACAGCAAATGGAGGCAGCGATCACTGAAGTGGTTCAAACAGCATGCCAAAACACTGAAAGGAGGACAATACTTTCTCAACCAACGCTCTAGAATGCTTTTTTTTTTTTTTTTTTGCTACAGAGAACTCATGACCTTGCACTTGCCAGGCAGGCACTTATGCCACTGAGCTAACCACCTAGCCCTCTAGAATACTTCTTAAAGAATACCGAATTTGAGTAGAATCTTTTCAGAAGAACATATGATACTGTAAGAACAGCACTTCAGGAAAAGCAAGGCAAGGAAATATTAGCAAGTGAAAGTCAGGCTGAGTAGACCATGGAGGGAATCCCTGAAGGTAGGATCAAAAATACAAGAAGGATCAGGTTGTGGAAATTTTGATGATAAGGGATTTCTGATCTTATCTAGTAGGTTGCAGGGAACCAAAATCTTACTAAGCAGGTAACATGAGAGGTAAATTTGAACAAGGTACAACTGGCAATAGTTTCTGAGGAGCAATTACAATACAGAGATGGAGGAAAATATTAAATATTCAGCAAAGTACAGGCTTGAACTGAGTAGAAGTAAGGTACAGCTCATGAGCCAAACCTTGCCCTTTGCAACTTTTTTTTTCTTTTTTGCAGTGCTGGCATGGAACATTGGGCCTCCCACATGCTAGGCATGGGCTCTATCATTGACCTACATCCCCAGCTCTTAAACAGTTTTTAAATACAGTTTTACAGCACAAAATGTATTGCCCATGGATGCTTTCAAGCTACAAGAGCAATGCTAACTGCAAGAGAAACTGTATGGCCGCTTCACTAAATAGTTACTATCTAGCTCTGTAAGGAACAGGCTACCGACTCCTTGAAGGACCCTTCAGTAAAGGGTTACCTCAGAACCAACTTACCTGGTGTGAGGAATAAGCCCTGTACACCAGCTTGATGACAAAAGCAGCAGAAACCAACCACAGCATGCTGCTGTGTTTGCTCCTTCAATTGTTCTCCTTCCAGAACCATTCCACTTAAGTCAGCGGGGAAAGGGAACTATCTTTGCAGCTGGGTCCTGTTTTATCACTACTCTACGTAATTTAAAGACCAAACATTAATTTATCAAGGCAATTTAACTCACCTGAACAAGTAAGACGCACAAGCTACAGCTGAGCCCCACACGCCAAACACCAGCTAGCTCCCTAAGAGCAGACTCCCAGGGCAACGCGAGCCTTGTGTGGAAGAGTACTCTGTGAGCAGGGTCAGGTGGAAGGCACAGCCCCAGCACCATGCCCTCTCCTTGCATGGTCCTTTAGTCTAAGAAAGGCTGACTTCTCAGATGGACAAGAGTAAGAGCCACAGAAGAATTGCTAATTCCATGTTCCTTTCCTCTACCACTTATTTATTTATTTATTTATTTATTTATTTATTTATTTATTGTCTTTTCCCTTTTTATCGGTACCAGGGATCGAACTCACGACTGCCTGCTTGCAAGGCAGGCGCTTATGCCGCTGAGCTAAATCCCCAGCCCCACCACCACCACCACCACCACCACCACCACCACCACCACCACCACCACCACCACCACCACCACCACCACTTCTAATGCTACAGGAGATGAAGTCAACAGAACCTACAAGAACACGGCTGCGTGGAGGTGTTCAGTGGGAGAGAATGTACTTTGCAGGCACAAGGCCTGACACTTCAAAAAATTTTCTCCTATGTATGTATGCATATAAAACCTTGCCTAAGAGTCACAATACTTTCTATTTTATAAATGCATTTGGCCGAGAAGGAGTTACAGTGGCTGGATTTAACTGCTTGGCTAAAGAGCCTAAGAAAAGGAGGGGAAAGGAAGGGAAAGGGAGGACACAGGAGGGGAAGGGAGATTAAACGTTAATGAGGAAAAAAAAAACCAATCAGAATTTACCAAAAATGGTACAAATAATAGGAGAGATATTAAACATTCTTACAACTATATTGTAAATGCTCTAGAAGCCAAAGGAAAAATCAAAATGCTAAGCAGAAATGTAAAAACAGAAAAAGAAACAAACTTACTACCTAGAGATAAAGACTGTCTGAGATGAAAATTCCACTGCAGAAAGTTCCACAGATTTCATTTTGTAAAAGAAAAGATTAGTGACTGGAAGATACAATAGAAACTTCTCAAATTCAAACACAAAAATTAAAAGGACTGAAAAGAGTACACAGAGCACCAGTAATACACAGAACAACTTTACACTCCCTAATTTAATGGCCCTGAAGAGGGGGAACAGATAATATTTGAAAACAAAACCTTGCCAATTTGATGAAAACTATTTAAAAACTATGACTTCAGTAAGTTCAATAAGCCCTAAAAATAAAACTACTCCAAGTTGTATTGGAATCAAATTGCTTCAATATAGCCATAAGAAAAAAATCTTGATCCCAGCTTACTCAGGCCAAAGTAGATGGATCACAAGTTCAAGGCCAACCTGAGGAACAATGAAAGACCCTGTCTCAAAATAAAATTTGTAAAAAGGATTAGCGATGTAGCTTAGTGGTAGACAGCCCTTGTCTAGCACACTCAAGACCCTGGGTTCAACCCATAGCATTGCAAGAAAAAAAATTATAATAATAGAGAGAAATCTTAAAAGGCAGGCAGCAAAAAAAGGTATATTATTATGCACAGAAAAACAAAAAGAAAGATAATGGCAAGTTTCTCATTAGAAGCAATACAAGCCAGAAGGCCACAGCACAAAAAAAGCTGGGATGAAAGAAACAATCATTCTCTTATAAGGGTCTTACACTATTTAGATAAACTGGTCTGTCACTTGAAGATAGACTGTACTTTAAGTTAAAAGTGAATACCACTATATACCGTAGTAAGAGTTACAGCAACCAGTGCACATCTGTAGTCCTAATGCTTGGGAGGCCAAGGCAGGAGGATCCCAAACTTAAGTACTGCATGGGCAACTTAGCAAAATTCTGTATCAAAATAATGAAGAAAAACCAATAAATAAAAAGGACTGGGGATACAGCTCAGTGTGAAGGCCCTGGTCCAATCCCCAGAACTCCTGCAAAAAATAATAATAATGATAATAATAATAATAAAATAATCCAATACAAAAAGAAAACAAAGCTAAACCTGTAGTCCTAGCTACTCAGGATGCAGAGAAGTGAGCATCACTTGAGTCCAGGACTTCAAGGCCAGCCTGGTCAACCTACTGAGACCATCTCACAAAAAAAGAAAGAAAGAAAAGAAAACAAGTAGCAATACGGTAGATTTTAAAGTCACCTACCTGATACACACATGGAGTGATCTAAACACCAATTAAAAAGTGTAATTTGTCCCATATGTAAAGAAGCAAGATCCAACTATATACAGATGATCCCTAACAAATCAGTTTTTTTGACTTTACAAAGATACAAAAGCAATTCACATTCAGTAAAACTGTATATAAACTTCAGAATTTTTATCTTCTCCTGAACTAGACAGACATGTGGTATATCACATAATGATAGGATGAACAACCAATACTTTACAGAATACCCTGTTGCTAAATTATACCATTCAGCAGGTTAGGTGTCTGAAATGCATATTCATCTTATATTTTCAAATTACAATCTGTTACTGGATATAACCCCACCACCAAGTAAAGGAGAAAATTCATTGCCTAAAAGAAACATGGTACACAGGTGAAAATAGAAGAATACAAAAACATATATCATCTCCTGCTGCTTTAACAGACTATCAGTTTTCATGAATTACAAACAATGAAGATCTATCTGGCTCACAGTTTTGGAGGCTGAGAGGTCAAAGATCTGCTTTGGGTGACAAACCTGGGGCTGCCTAATAACAGGGCAGAGGTATCAAAAAGAGAAAGGGGCCAATCCTTTCACTTTTTAAAAACTGACTTTGATCATTAACCTTTTCCTGCAATTACTGACTTCATCCACTAAGGCCCGCATGCCCTAATCTCTTAAACAGACCACCCTACAGCACTATGCACTAGGGACTAAAATTCCAACATATGAACCTGAGGGGTACATTCAAACCACAGTACTTATATTAACCCTGAACAAAAGAAAAGCTGATTGGTTATACTAATATCACATAAAGCAGACTTCAGAGCAGACACTTCTAGGAATAATGACAAACTACTTACAAAAAGAAAGGAAGCCAGGTGTGGGGGTACACATCTAGAATCTCAGGACTCCTAGCACTATAGAGGCTAAGGCAAGAGGATCACTGCAAGATGCAAGTCAGCCTGGGGTACACAGTGTTTGGGGTCATCTTGGAGATCCTGTCTCAAAAAAACGAAAAACTTCCAGGCATGGTATA